GCATGCTCAGTGCGGGGCTAACGTTGCCGAAGCGCGCTCCGCCTCGAGCTGTGCGGGGCCCCTGCGGTTGCTAGGACGCCACGCGGGAAACCGTGCAAGAGGCCAGGTCCCTGCTCACACGCGCTTACATGCTAGGGGGACCTGACAGGCAGTTAACCCAGGAGCGAACGAAGAGGAAAATACCATAGTATTATTAGTGCTGTAAGGAAAACACGAATGCATAGAAAGGGGCCAGGTGGAAACTGTTTTCCATCGGGGTTAGGGGAAGGCATCTCAGGGACTAGCAATGAAGCTGAGACCTGAGAATATTTAGGCAGGCAGAGGGATAGCGAGAGTAAAGGCCCTGAGGCTGGAAGCTAACTGGCACCTGGTGTTTTAGGGACACTGAATAAATGAATGCACCGAGAAGTTGATAAGATCTTCCGCTGAGGGAAACCAGCTTATCTTCAGCCTCGTCTGACTTAATGTCCCACTTACTACTCGGAAAATGTTGAACTGCTTGTTGCTACCTGCACACAGTAAGCTGTTCCTCTTGCTCCCTAACCTTTGGGTATGCTCTCCTCTCCTGGAATTTTTCCCCCCACTTTTTCTTTTGCTTTATCCTGACTCATCCTATAATCAACTCAAATAATAGTATCTCCTCTGAAACCCTTTCCTGAATACTCCTTCCCTCTTCCATTATGTCCCTCCTCTGCTCCTCTTCCTCCTGAGGTTTATCCCTAATTTAGCACTTAGTACTCTGATTGCCCGCTTACAGTTTTTTTTCCAAAGACTTTGAATTCTTTAAAGGTAGGAAGTAAGTCTTTATTTATCTTTGTCTCCCCAAGACCTAATAGGACCTGGCACCCAATATGCCCTTATGAAGTTTGTTGACAAAGACCTGGTCTCTGCCCTCAGGAATCTAGTTATAATTATTTGTTTAAATTCTTAACCCACACCAGACTGTGAACCTTCTGAGGGTTAGGTGGCTGTTCCAGATGAATCCTCAGCCCAGCTGAGGCCCATAAAAGAGGAAAGAATGAACACTTAATGTGGAGGGGGAACCAGATGAGACACACACAGCTGGCCATCTACTCAACATATCCATTTTTGCTTCCGGAGTCTAAATTTTGCCAGAGATTCTCCTGGCCTAGGAAATGATTCAAGATTTCTCTAAACTGTTAACCAAAGGTTAACAGTTTAACACCAACAGAAGTCCCCAATTTGAGGGGTGGTAAAGAGGGACCCACAGGACATCTTCAGTGAAAACTGCTCAGTTGTGAAACATCTCAATGGTGAGGTGGGCTGGGCACGAGGCAGCTCTGGTGTTATGGCTCTGGCCAAGTAAATGCAGCACTCACTAGAAACCAAAAGCCATCCTCAGAGTGGAAGCTGGATTTATATAGAGAACAGTGGCCACCCTCAGCCACTGATTGGCCCATTTCTATGCAAATAAGGACTCCAAATCCTCACTGTATGATTGGTCCCAATAGCACCATCCTAACTGGTCAGAATGGAGCTACTCTGATTAGTCAATAAAGATACAAATGAGTACAGAGCTGTGCAGCTCCTATTGGTAGAAATTCGATCCCAGGAATTCCTTTATAAGGGTCAGCTCAGCTAGTCAGAACACAGTGCAGTAGGCAGGCAGTTCATGCTTTCCCTGAAGCATGGCATGCGAGACCCCTATTTAGCACCAGCTGCTAGGCTCTATAAATTTGAGCCCAATTAGCCACCAGGAGCCCTTCTTAACAGGCACAGAGTTAACATTACTAACAACAATAATCTCATTCTCTTTTGCCAGTGATTGAGAATGTGATCTGACCTGACCAATGAGGTAAGAGGACTGCTGGGTGTCATGGGACACTTTTGTATTTTTTCTTGAAGAGAGAGGACTTCGAGATAGCCTTTTTGCACTTTTTCTGCTTTGGGTAGTGTTGATGTGGTTGCCATTTTGGGGTTTTTGTGTTGTTCTTTTTAACTCCTGGTGGGATTTTTTATTTATTTATTTTGGTTGTTAATCCTCACTCGAGGATATTTTTCCATTGATTTTTAGAGAGAGTGGAAGGGAGGGGAAGAGACATAGAGAGAAAAACATCCATGTTAAAGAGACACATCCATTGGTTGCCTCCCGCACACATCTGACCCGGGCCAGGGATGGAGCCTGCAACCAAGGTACTGGAATTGAACCCGGGCTCTTCAGTTCACTAAGCCAAACTGGCTAGGGCTGTGGTAGCCATTTTGTAAGCAATAAATGCACAAATAGGAAAAGCCAAGGTGCTGTGTAGGACGAATTTGACCTTGTTGAGCCACTGAATCAACCCGGAATTAATAAACAACAAATGCCACGGTTCCTTAAGTCACCATTTTGATGATTGGTGTTGTGTTTTGGTTTCTTTTTAAGTTGCTTGCAGCTGGATATATTCTAAGTGGTATACTACACAAATACACTTGTGGCAAATTGTATTTTTCAAAAATGGACAAAACAGTATTTCCACTCCTCCTTGCCCTTCCAGAAACTTGCAACTCCCCCATCAAGAGATAGAATCTGTGTCTGCTCTCCTTGAAACTGGGTGGGCCTTTGGGGTCCCATCAACAGTGGAAAAGACATTCTGTACCTTCCAAAGCTAATGTCTATCTTCTGGAAAAATCCTGGGGAGGGGACAAAGGAGGGATGTTTGGTATTATGTATTGATAAATTGACTTTATTTTTAAACATGTTTATTGAGTACCTATTCATCTAGAGCAGCGGTTCTCAACCTGTGGGTAGCGACCCCTTTGGGGGTCGAACGACCCTTTCACAGGGGTCGCCTAAGACCATTGGAAAACACATATATAATTACATATTGTTTTTGTGATTAATCACTATGCTTTAATTATGTTCAATTTGTAACAGTGAAATTGGGGGTCACCACAACATGAAGAATTGTATTAAAGGGTCGCGGCATTAGGAAGGTTGAGAACAGCTGATCTAGAGAGATGAGTATGTAGGCAGAATGGAAGATTAGATCTTCCAAGGAGGAAAAACCCCAGTGGGCAGCAGGGTCTGAACATGAGGTAAAGTCAAGTCGTATAGGAAAAGTGCTAGGGGATTTCAGAGGACTGAAAATTGGCTTCTTGCAGGAGGGACCTGTGAAGGCTTCCTGAACTTTGTAGGAACTCTCCTTGATCGCAACTTCCTCAGGGCTCCCACTGCCATTTGTACAGATTTCTAACAGAGCAAAGTGACAAATAAAACGTGAATTTTCTGGAGTCAGGATAGTCTTGGGTTAAAATCTTTGCTCTCACTAGTTTCCTAACCTATAAACTGGGGATAATAACTCTTACTTCATAGTATTGTTTTAAGGATCAAGTGACAATCTAGGATTATAGACAGTCCTCTGTAAATGTTTTCCTCCTGTGTCAGGGTAATGGCTCCATTATCCCATTTTTAGAATATGGGGTGCCATATCTGGGTAGCCCTCAAAGTTGTTTGCTCAGGTGTTAAGTTTCATAGATGGCATAGGGGAAAAACAGGACAATTAGCAACAACGAAAGGTTACTCTGGGTAAGTTGCTCCTGTAACTATCCCCATGGTAAATTGGGTGGCATCTGCCTGTTTCCTAACACTCATTGATGGTGGTGGCAACTGAATATGTACCCATGGCAATAGTTTAAACTGGAGCTCAGAGAGGAAAGGAAGCTTTCTGACTCTGATGTTCAATTAGTGGGTACATATCAGTGGTTGTCAGTTTGGTGGTGCAGGCTCCAGAATCAGACTTTACATCCCTAAACCTGCATTATTAGCTCTGTGCTCTTCATCTCTGTGGCCTTGGGAGAGTAGTATTAGCATACTTACCTTACAGAGTTGATAGGAGTATTAAATGAGTTACTATTAATAAAGTACTGAGAAGGTAGTAAGCACTGTGTTAAATAACACATAAAACTGAGGATAACGTTACAGGCTTGATATAACGATTAAAGGAGGTAATATATGAAAGCGAGTACATAGCAAGAGCTTCGTAAACATTAGGTATTTTTATGTCTGCCAAGTGACTCGAAGGTGAGGCAGTTGAAAGGGGGTAGGGCAGTTTGCAGGCTGCGGCTCTGTGGCATGCAAGGACTGGGTATGCGGGGTCCAGCCTCCATCTGGAAGAATGCAACCCGGCAAGAAAGCTAGAAAACCACCAATACCTCCAGGAGTCCCTGGAGCAGCGCTTCCCGGGAATCGCGTACAACTTGGCTTGTGAAGAATCCGCAGTTCCTATCAAGCCGGCGCTTCGCTGGAAGTCCCGGCATCTCCGTCTGAGAAACGAGGGGTCGCGATTGAGGCAGAGATGGGTTCCGGGCCCGGGGACCCACTGTCTTGGGCAAACAGCGTCGCAAGGAGACATCCTCGAGTCCCGAACCAGGCTTAAGACGCTCAGAATAAGAGCCTCTACTGTTCTGGGTCCACGCCCCTGCGCACCACGTGACGCCGGCCGT